CTTGATGTTATACAGAAAAGAATTAAAGTCTTTAAAAATTGTTTGACAAAAAGGTTATATATGTATAAAACAAAAATAGTTCTATTAATAAAAATAATTATATGTATATGTAATTATTTAATTTGAATTTTATATTTTTAAACTTATATTATTAATTTTTATATTAATTTATTTCTGAGTACCTTCTCTTTGGCCTAAGGGCACGTTTACTACATAATAAGATATTCTGATTATAAGAAAAGTAAAAATGAATTTAAAAAAAATGATTTATGCGTTTTCTGTACATTCACATAATACAGTTTGAATCAAGAGATACGTAACGCCATTTTTGCACTAGTATAAATAAGTACAAATTTACAGCAGCACATACAAATAAGTAATATAATTAATTGCACGAGTATTATTTTTATTATTTGCATTGAATAATCCTATAATATAATAACTTATATGATATAACTTCAGCTAATGTTAACTTATTGTTAGTATAATATACTTAATATATAATATATAATATATAATATCATATAAAAATTGATAATATTAATTACTTTATTATTTTAATTCTACTATTGTAATTTTATACTTTTCAAAAAAAGGTAAAAAAAAAAGTCGAGTCATCTCAATAGTAAAACATTATTGTATAAAACTATTTTACAAAAAATTATTTTAATAAGAAATTGCTGTATTAAAAAAAATTGTGTAAAATAATTGTCATAATTATCTACAAAAATTAATGATATATTTAAATAGAAAATTACGTCGAGAATAAAAGAGTGCGATCTTATTTTATGTTAATCAACAGTGTGTGTGTGTGTGTGTGTGTGTGTGTGTGTGTATGTGTGTGTGTGTGTTAGATGTGATTGACTGCTGATAAATAATTAGATGAAGAAAAATTATGTTTATATTTTCGTCGAAAGTTATTACATCTTTGTCGTAAAAATCAGAATCCTGATTTCTTCAACGAAACAGAACAGTTGATTCATGTAGCTTGTAACTTAAAAAATTTTAATTATTAAAAAACTCCATGCTGCCAAATTTATTTGTATATTATTCAGAAGCGTCGAGTTTTTTAATAATTAAAATTTTTTAAATTACGAGCTACATGAATCAACTGTTCATCGTTGAAGAAATCGAGATTCTGACTTTTACGACAAAGATGTAATAACTTTCGACGAAAATATAAACATAATTTTTTTTTATTTAATTATTTATCAACAGTCAATCACATCTAACACACACACTGTTGATTAACATAAAATAAAATCGCACTCTTTTATTCTCGACGTAATTTTCTATTTAAATATATCATTAATTTTTGTAAATAATTATGACAACTATTTTATACAATTTTTTTTAATACAGCAATTTTTTATTAAAATAATTTTTTGTAAAATAGTTTTATACAATAATGTTTTACTACTGAGATGACTCGACTTCTTTTTTTTACCTCTTTTTGAAAAGGTAATTTTTTTAGGATATCTCATTACGAGAGGCTAAGAGAAAACTTAAAAAGAAATTTCAAATATCGTAAAAAGCAATAAGAGAATATTTCGAAGGTTAAATTATCAGTTGGAGATTTGGTTCTATTAAGGGTAAGACATCTCTTCAATGCCTTTGATAAGGTAATTGACAAATTTCATCTTTTTGAAGATTCATATAAAATAATTCAGTATATTGGTGAAAATGCGTTTTTATTAGTTGATCATCAAAATGAATAAAGGGAAATAGGCATTTATAATCGTCGCAATCTCCGAAAATATTATAGTGATAAAAATAATGTTCCAAAAAAGTAGGAAAACATAATATTATGTGTGTTTGGTTTCTCTCTAAACTACTTTTGAATTATTGTTAATTATTGTTAATGATGATTCCAGTAAGTATGTGTGTATATTTTTATTAGTAATATTGATGTATATATGTGTGAAAGGTATGAATGATATGTAGAATGAGGTAATAACAAAAATGTCTTCATAGGATTAGTTAAATTGTAATTAATGTTTGACGTATATGTATGTGACATGGCAGTAAGCTAATTTGAATTAGTTATTGACGATTACTTTACGCTCCACACATCACTAGTTTGTTGTATAAAAGGAGAAAAATTGTAACAAGTGATGATGAAACTTGAACTGCCGCCTTTAAAGGTAAAGTTTGTTTCCCTCAATTTGACACATGCAAATGTTTAACTAATATAAAGCGTATGCCAATCTATAATGATCGAAGTGTGAGAGCCTCGTCTCTGCTCATCCTTTTTTCTGAGGTCCTGGCACGGCAAACATAGGGAAATCGATGATTTTCCGATGTTTGATCTATCCATTTGGAAAGAAGAAGGAAATAGAAGAAGTGAATACTCAGAAAGTAAGATCTGGCCAGCTTCTTCATAATTTCCACACAGTCTTTTTCACAAAATACAGAAGGAATTCGAAGTCCCGGAACAGCTGAGAGAGCCAACATCTCGAAGAGTAAGAAGATAAGTTATTATTTCGGAAAGAGATATAGCGAATTATTATTATATATATTTCTGATGTGATTAGACTGAACTTCTATCCATTGTCAATATTATGATTAAAAATAATTAAGATTGTTATATCTTGCAGACGGATGTCCGGTCTGCGAGGCAATAATAAGCCTTGCCGTTACAAAATATATAACAAAAAATAAAATAAAATAATTGAATTTTGTAATATATTGTTTCAATTCTATTTACTGATAATGTTTTATTTGTGATTTGTAGAAAGTTGGAAAACGAAACAAATTTGAAAATCGTTTAATTCATTTTTTTGGGAAAATAATATAAGTGTCTTGTGATTTTTTTGTAGTTTTATTTATAGAGATGAATAATATATCAATTATCGCAAAATGTTCGCACATTAAAAAAATGTTAAATGTGTGTCGAAAATGTGCATATAACTTATATTATTTTTTTTCGTTATTTTTGTATGTTCTAAAATCAGAAAAGGAAAATGTTTTAACATACTTCTTTATATATATTTTTATTTTATTATACTGTAACGATGCACCCCGTGCACCCCCTCGCATCATTATACCCGGCATGCGATCCGCCGGAAGCTGCCGCCCGGCAGAACATCCGCCGGGTAAAGGCAGGGGCGCGGTGCGCCCACATTTTTTAAACGTTGTAAAACACCTCGAACAGCGTTAAGCCGTTAATTGTCAAGCCGGAAAACACCGGAGATTGCCGAGGTTCCCCGAACCGCCGACCGGCGAAAGCCCGCGTTCGGCGCAACACCCGAAGTCCTCCGAACGGGCCCGACCGTACCGTTTTTCCGAAATCCGTTCGGAAGGGGTAATACCGCCGCGCGCCGACGCGCGGATAATTAGCCGGTATAAAAAGGGCATACTCGGCAATCTAATCACCTTTTCCAATTCCGATCACGCAAGTGAAACGTCTCGCAATCCAGAATCGCTCCTAGCAAAAAGCCGAATTTAAAACAGAGATAGAGAGCACTCTTCCTCTATCGAGAACTCTCGATTATAAACTGGCAATCCATCCAGCCGCTTCTTCCGATCGCAAAACGAACCTGAACGCACTCCGGTTCGGCCGAGGGATCTCGATAAAACGGTCCAGCATCCGACCGCCTAACGTTGTGCATTATATCTCGAGGCAGAGAGGAGAGCTACCTCGGACGAGTATTTCTCGTCGGCACAACGTTTCCTGAAAACTTTCCCTCAATACCGGGAATTTCATTCATATTTCTGCCGAAGCCGCGTACACCGAATTTACCCGGCGATTTGCAGAAACGCCAGCGAAAAGAAATCCTCAAAAACACGGCTAGACTTACCGCCAGACACGCGCGCATAGAAAAACGCGACGCATACCATCAACGGTCATTCACCGCACCCAGACGTAAACACGCGCGGCGTACGAAGCATTGTACCGAATAAAATATTGTTGCATTTCTGATAATAACCGCTGCATTTGTATTACGCGATACCGATCAATTATATAAATACATATATTTTGAATAATATTCGTGCGACTCAACACAGCCCCGGGGAAATCAGCTAACACAACCATGCGTGCCGTTATAACTCGATCTCCGCGCAGCGAAATAATATTTAACACGCATCGCGCTTCGCGCAATTCATACGCATATTGCAACACACACATCTCACATATCACTGTGACACACACACACACACATCCACACACTCACACAAACACACTGTAAGCTATTATAATAAAGTGTTTTTTTTTCACGAACACGCTCTCGTTATCAGTAAAATCCACGAACGAATCCTGATCCCGACTCCGGCTATTCGACAGCGATTCACGCGGAATTCGTCCGTGACAATACATTAGTAAAAAAAAACTTTTTCAAGATTTTAAAAAATAAGGTTTAAATTAACGTAATCGATTTCGTCTTAGCTAAATATAACTCAATTTTATCTTTGATCATAATTATTATATTACTTTTAACAATAAATATCGTAAAAGTTTAATTTAAAATTAAAAATAACATCATAATAATTTTTTGAAGTGATCTGTATATAGTGTTTTAATATGATACATTACAACGCGAAAGATCTTTTATTTTAGATATTTTAATTCGAAAGATAATTATGAATATTTTTCGTTAAGGACATTAATGAACATTTTTAGTTTTATTTAATTTTTTATTATTATTATATACAACATATATATTTTTTATGTATTTTAATATATTTTATATAACATATTTATGTAACATTTTATTATTTTTATTAACAAAAAATATTTTGCATACAAATAGTTTTACATGATTTGTCAATATTTCATATATTTACATTACATAGTTCACTTTCTATGTGCAATGTATACATATAATTAAAACTTAAAATTAAACAGGTTATATCCATATTACGCATGTAACAACATAAATTAAAATTAATTCAATCAAATTATTAATTATTATATACACCATAAAAAGTATTACAATATAACAATATTAGTAAAATATATTGATGCTATCGGGATATGGTTATTATTATTCTAATTTATAGATATTTTTTTATTTTTTGTTTCTTAAGAATTGTAATAACTTTGTTTCTTAAGAATTGTAATAAAGCTTAAATTAAGTTCGATTAATTTTAATTATTCTTAAGTGTATTCCATGCTTTGGTGCTAATAGAAATGCTTTAGGATCAATTATGTAGGGTATTTGCGTTTTATCGCAAACTTCAACTTTATAGTTTCGTAGTATCTTTATAAGACCAATCTTTGTCTGATAAACAGCAAAGCGAGCACCTGAAAATAGAAAATTATTATTATAAGAAAAGTTTTTCGATTAAAATAATATTACATGTAAAGCAAAACAAAGAAAACTGAAAGAAATGTATTTAAATATACGTAATAATTATCACTTTACCAATACAATTTCTTGGACCATCACCAAAAGGTAGATAGTGCATCGGATGCCTGGTTTGTATTGCTTCGTCATTAAATCTTTCTGGATCAAAAGTATCTGGCTTTGGATAAATATCTGGATCTCGATGAATCGCGAAAATCGGAATCCATACTTTTTGATTTTTTGTTATGTCAAGTGTAGTATCATTGAAAGTATAACTTGATGTCGATTGTCGCATAAGAAATGTCACTGGTGGATATTTTCGTAAAGTTTCTGCATATATTAAAAGTAATGCAAGGGAGAATTATTTGAAAATTTGTTTGTGAAGTATAAATTATCGAAATGTGTACATATATGTATTAAAATTTATTAGCAATAAAACTATTGATATTATAATGCTACTGAAAATTAATAGCAAATTATTAAATTATTTTTTTTGAATGATGTACCTTTGAAAACTTTATCTAAGTAATTCATCTCTTTTACATTTTCATATGTTAAATTGCTACCATGTTTGGTGTACTTTTGATCAATTTCCTCACGTAGCTTATCTTGTATTTGTTGATTTAATGCCAATTCGTAAAGCGCATGACTCATAGTCGTCGATGAAGTTTCAAAACCGGCAAGGAAAAATACGAACGCTTGAGCAGCTATCAAGCTTTCGGTCATCTCTAAAATACGATATTTTTTTACAATTAATTTTAATTCTTCAAATATTACATCAAATATTACAAATTATGAATAATCTACTATTAAGCTACAATTAACGTTTAATATTAATATATATTACTATTAATCTATAAATTTATATTTACAAAGACTCTAAAACGAAATGTCAAAAATTTAAAAAGTTATCATTTTAAAAATTTCTTGTGTCACAGAAAATTTTCATATAAATATACAGTCGTTACTTACTGATATCGCCCACTTTATCTGGATTCTTTTTTAACTCGCGCAGCATATCAATGAAATCATGCCTAATGACATTATTTGTTTCTCTATAATTCATAGTTTCTATGACAACACGTGTGAAAAATTGATTGACCTCCGATTGTGGTAGGATATAACCGAGCATTTCGTAGAGCCATGGAAGGGATTGTCTTATTCTCAACCGTAAAATATTTTGCCAGGTTGGCGTGAAGACCATTCTTCCCATCCTACGAAATTCACTGTCTTCGTCTGATAGAGCATTCATTTCGATGCCGAATGCACAAGTACCGATTACATCGGTCGTATATTTTGCCGTTACCTCGCGGCATTCTATAGGCTCGTTTTTGCTCACCAATTTCTCAATATATTGTTCAAGATGATCGGCGCATTCCGATATTAAAGAGAACATTTCTTTTAGCTTACCAGATGTAAAAACGGGCGACAACTTTATCCTTAAAGGTCGCCATCTTTTGGGCTCTAACGCGAAAAGATGTTGCGACAGTGGATCAGTCTACGATATAATAAAATACAATTACAGTCAAATAAATTTATCAATTTCATTAAATTATAATAATTTAAAATAATTTAAAATAATTTAATAATATTTGAAAAAACTTAAGGCTATTTAAAATTAATATAATCTTTTCAACAATTTTGATTATTGGAAAATATCGTAATATATGTAAAGTTATCACATTTATATAATTACAATATTATAATAAAATTTAAATTATCTACATACTTTTTCACTGACAGGAAGTCCTCTATCGGCAAACTTAGAAAAATCTTTGATAAGAATATCCTTAATTAAATCTGGATCTTTTACAATCAAAATAGGTGTTTTTCTTGTGAATATTCCAATCATGGATTCATTTTTATACTCATTGTATATTTCCATTAAATAATCTCCTGCGAACTTTTTATTAAGCATAACGTCTTTAAAATTACCAAAAACTGGTATCGGTTTTGGACCGCGAATACCACGTGACTTCCAAAAATCGTAGTTTGATGTAAAATAATAATAAGCTGCGAGAAATATAGCCGCAATACCGCATAGTATTTCAAAAGGTCCCATTGTTCTGCTGTTGCCAATCAATTATTTAGAGCGATGTTTTCTAAAAAAGAAAAAGTAATATTTTATTATATAAAATCTCATTGTTTATTCCATTTCAACAAATCCAAAATTTAATAAAAAGGTTGATAAGCATTAAATGCATATTTAACAAAGTATAAGTTTATTATAACTAATTTTTTAATCAAGTTTTATCGATCGGTATAATCGATAAGTCACTTATAGATATGTGTAAATAATTTGTAAATTGTAAGAATTTGTAACAATTTGTAATTTTGTAGATTGTTAAGAAAAGAGTGATGCAATTTCGTAAAATGTAACGCATTTAAATTATGACATGCAAATTACTTTTCATTTAAAATTTATTAATGTAATTTAAAGATAAACAATAATAAATAAAATTTTATTTTATGCTTTTAATAAATACATAATCTTAATTAAAAATATAATTCTATTTTTCTGTCTATTTAGCACAAATTTGCCACGTTGAAATCAACCGAATGAGAAATCTCATTTCTTCACTTTAATATACTATATTCTATATCAATATACTATATAACTATATCATAAAATCGCGAAGGAATGCTGTCAAGCATGTTTATAATAGCGAAGTGGAGATAAAGTGAGTAAGACCGTAAAAAACATAAGTAGAAATGTTCCTAAGATAATGAACTATACACTCTATATAAAGTTTTGGATTGAACCATGTGTTTTAATATTGTGCTTGCAAAATAATAATTTGCATACTGCTACAATCGTAACGCGACGATAATATAATCAGTAATATCGTTTATCACTTCAAAATATAAACATATCTAACTCACGTCATTCTTATCTTAGGTAAATGTCAAACTCAGGTGTTATTATTATTGTATGTAAATTAATGAATGGAAACACATTGCATCACTTTTTCAAATCAATTATCTATTGATAATTCACATTCTTTTCATCATCAAATGAACGATTTTCGCGAAGAAATCTGTGATTGAAATACAAAAATTAAGCACGTTCTCTGTCTGTGTATGTGTCTGTGTGTGTGTGTGTGTGTGTGTGTGTGTGTGTGTGTGTGTGTGTGCGTGCGTGTGTGTGTGAGACATACATTTTGAAATTCTGGAATTCTTTTAAAAATCTTTGAAAATGTTATTATTTATATGATAATCGAAATATTCCATTATATGCGATTCAGAAGACAAATGATAGATAATACCCAAATAAATGATAAATAATAAATATGACGTACTTGAATGCGGTAACTTAATGGACGATTACAGCAATTGACACATCCGGAGCTATCTCAGCCGATCAACTTGTCGCGAAGTGACTGGAAATGGTACTGGCTGTCGTGGTCCAAGTTGGATCAAATTATAAAGCGTACGCGCCACCACAAATGATGTGCGAGTAAGGAAGTGAGTCACGATGAATTGCGGAAACTACATGATCAACATTTATCTCAAATACAAAATACATGACGTCGAATACATGACTTCGCATATTATAATAGTGAGAAAATATAATTGATCAGATAATTTTCCTTAATCATTACACTCTATATGCTATTGCGTATGTACTCTGCATTTAATAAAATGAACTTATAAAATAATTGTCAGTCATTTTTCGGTCGATAATTATAATTAATTATGTGACTGTGTAAGACATATAATATAAAATATATACATTTTTTCAGATATATTGAACTAACAATTAATTTTTTAACTAGATTACACGTGATATTTTGGATAAACGATATAAGGAAAAATAGCTCTTTGCAAATAAATTTTAATAAAAACAAATTTTTTAAGAATATAATGAATTGAAATAAAGTATAGTATTCATGTAGATTACATTGTTATTTGAATTTGTCAATTAAATTATACATTCGGTTGATTATTTTCTTTATATTTCACAAACTAAACTATAGTACATTTTTTTTACACTTTATTACTTTTGTTATATGCATGTGCATTTATATTATTTTGTTATATGCATGAGACTTCTTGATTGTCTTTTTAATCGTTTTAAAGTATGTTAACTTTTGAATTGATAAGATTAAAACGTGTTATACAATTGTTTTCTAGTTAATACCCACACGGAAAAATTTATCTAATAGATATTTAATAAATGTCTATATGTGTATATGAGATCCATCTTCTATAAATAACTAGTAAACGTATATGTATACAGAGTATCCGAAAAGTCCCGGACCGGTCGAATATTTCATAAACTATGCACTTAAGAAAGAAATGTTTCAGGCAAAAGTTGTATGGCTTGAAGGGGGCCATCCGATAGTAGCAATGATTTGACATGGGAGAGTCATTTGAAATTCACCGTCAATTTCTTAAATAGAACTCCCTATTTTTTATTACGTATTCGTGTAATTTATCTCGAGAGTTTTCCAAAACATAATAAACTATAATAAACTATTTCTTCATTGAGTACTTTTCGAGTTATGAGGCTTGAAATCATTTCTTAATTTTACATAAATCGTAAAATATCTTGTACAATATTCATTTTTCGACTATTTTACCTTAATAATTTTATGTATAAAATGAGAGGAATCAATTGATGTAAAGAAAACACATAGTTGTTTTTAAGAAAAAAATATGTAATTTGCAATTAACAATTACATTTTTTTTATGTTTTATAAAATGGCGGACGTTGAAGATAACTTTCAAAACATGGGAAACAAATTATTTTTTTTAATTGTTGCGTTGCTCAGGAGAATCTACACGCTAATACACAAATGTATGAGTTTTGAAGCTCATTTATTTCCTAACAAATCCGTAACAGCGTGCGAGAGCTAAGACGTTTTAATAAAAATCTTGTGTTTGCGTAGTAAATTAACAGAGAAAATGAAGTGTACTCTGCAGGAATATAAGGATATGATTGTGGCATACGGACTAGCGGGAGAAAATACTTATCGTGCGGCCACAATTTACATGGAATCATTTCTCGGGCGTGCACGAAAACCAAGTGGCCGTACAATTTTACGTGTTGTGCAATAATTATGTGAAACTGAGTGTCGTGCATAATATCGGAATAACCGGTCCAACAGTGTCTCTTCGTGTATGAGATGAAGAAAGGATTCTTGAAGAATTTTATCATCGTATCACATTATCAACGCGTGCAATACATTTTATCGAGGGATTTTCAACCACGAATCAATTTTTGTAAAGGTACTGTCCATTAATTTTTTACATTTACGATATATTCAGCGTATAGTAAATAGCATTTTGAATAATTTTTAAATTGAGAGTGGAATAGGCCTATGGGGGAAACCACTATAAAAAAAGCGCACCATGCTAACTACCGCAAGGTGGTGTGGAAATGATAGCGCATCATTTTCTCGCCACGAAAAGGGGAGACGGTATCATTTTTCAGCGCGGTATTGCGATATATCGCAAACCACCATCATGTCTCGGAGAGCGACCCGCCCACCGCTTCGCCGCGTTCGTAGTATCGGATTACGGTGGGACGACTCTCATTTGTACAGAAATGTGTAGAAATTTTCATATTTGACTGCGCAACTATAATTATACTTACATAGACATTTATTACATTTGCATGCATAGACATAAATATAGTTACGCAGAAATATTCCCTACATATGTAATTATTTATTATATATATACACATATATATATATATATGTATATATATATATATATATATATATATATATATATATAATTATCATTATACATATAGGGAATATTTCTGCGTATTTATATTTGTGTCTACGCAGGCAAATGTAACAAATGTTTATGTAACTATAATTATGGTTGCGCAGTCAAATATGTAAATTTCTACACACACACACACACACACACACACACACACACCACCACGCACGCACGCACGCACGCACGCACACCACACACACACACACACACACACACACACACACACACACACACACATACAAATATATATATATATATATATATATATATATATATAATTATAAATTATACAAATATAGTCCACAAAATGATAACTATCTATTCTCTTTATTAATATATAATATGTCAAAATATATTATGTCTAATCTAAAAATGAGAAAAATTTTACAATCACAGTCCACTTGGCGGCCATTAAGTGTCACAAATCTGGGTTTTATTTTATTAATCAATGCACTCGGCGTTGCGATACTACTGCGTCGCTTGATAATAACTTTTATTAATATGTCACTTCTCTTCTGTCTTTTTAAACAAGTAACATGTCACTTCTATTCCTTGTTACACTATTCCGCACTATACTTTAATAAATTTATCTTTCATACGTACGTACACATACATATTACACTATTCCGCACTATACTTTAATAAATTTATCTTTCATATGTACGTACACATACATATACATATCGTACACGTATGTGCGCTCATGCACACATATGATTTTGTCACTTAAAGCATTGTACATATCGAAGCAATAATTGTATACGCAGCGATGTGAATGCCGCTTGAGGGACAAATTCGCCTGTTCCCGGGTTAAATGGCCAAATTTAAAGTATAAATTTGGAACCTGAAAACAAGCAAAAATTTCCTCTGGAAGTGTTTGCTCGCAAACGCTTCGTTCAAGAGATATCGACTTGTTAAGTTACAGAACCATAAGAATGAATAATACCAAAATAAAAATTTAAAGAGGTCCAATAGGCGTAGAGAGCTAAGTATCAATTAAAAATGTAGGTCAATAATCAGAAAAAAATATATATTAATAGTTCATAATACAAAAACAAAAAACAAAACTAATATAATATATATAAGAATAAAAGGTGTGTGCGGACGTTTCGACTTGTCTTCGAGTCATCTTCAGCGCAATTTAATTAACGAAGATTAGAGCATTTAGTAACACGGTTCGTAGAGACATAAAACGGTGATAATTAGAAACGGAAAGAATATAAATTAAATTCAAAAATAAATAAGAAATAATAAAAAACATTTTCAAAAAGGAGAAACAGCTCCGATCGCAACGGTTGTACATACTCAGGCTTACAAAATTTAAAGGAGATGTATCTCCAAACGCCACGGTTGTACATGGTAGAAACGCAAACGGCTCCCAATTGTTTCCATAAGTGAAACCACTCTCGTTTAGGTTGATTGACCCAAAGTAGAGTATGCTTCATTTGAAAATCTGAATAACGTACATAAAAAAGAATAAAAGTAAAAGCCACCACAGAACCCAAGAGCAATGTAAGTTTTTGGTCATATAATGATTAAAAACTGATTAGTTTAAATGAAAACAGTATTAAATAAATAGATTAGGCGACAGAGAACATTATTAATCAACAGGAATATAAATAAATACCGAAAAAGAAAAATAATTAGTCAAAGTATAAAACAATAATAGTCAATAAAATAAAATAAAAACCAAAATTCGCAGCCAATTAACAATCAGAAATTAGAGTGAGTACATGAAATAAAAGTAATTTACCATAAAAAACATTTAAATAAGGGTAGCTTACATTGCTATGAGGATCCAAGATGCACATGTATATACGTTAAAAGATCAGATGTACAAGAACGTTAATATCTTTTGAAAATTCTTTCTCTGTGAAACTATCACTTACAAGGACCAGAATATAAATGAACAAAGCAAGGAACGGTTGGCCGTGTTGATTTCTGTGTATGACCGTCAGATATTCGGAAGTTTATTTATTATATCATTATAAATGTCAGGAAAACATTCTGTATCAGTTTGTAAATTTAGACCGTTATGCTGTCGCTTAATATATAACATTTCGGAAATTAACCTCTTATTGTAAAAAGATTCTTTGTCAAGTATTTTAACGTCATCCCATCTGAAATCATGATCAAAATTTAACCTGTGTTCCGTAATGACAGACTTGTTAGTAGTAACTCTATTAATGTGTTTTTTGTGTTCATTTATTCTCGTAATTAACTTTCTTCCTGTCTGCCCGACATAAGATACGTCACAATTTCCGCATTCTATTTTGTAGACCACATTCTTATTTGAAACTTTCGGGATGCGGTCTTTATGAGCCTTAATAATAGTGTTAATTTTATTAAGACTATAATACGACAACTTAATGTTCGTATCTTTAAGAATGTTTCCAAAGTTATTTGTTAATGATGGTAAAAAAGGAACCGTGAAAAAAGATGAGGTTTCTTTCTCGATCAAGGCGTCAGATGTAGATGTCCGTGTCAAAAAGCGAAGTCTATGATTGATCGTGTCAAAAATAAATTTTAACGGGTAACCATTGTTCAGTAGGATCTCAATAATGAGCATGAAATTCTTTCGATGAAAAAACGGGTGCGACAACTTAAAGGCCCTATCGATAAGGCTAATTATTGTGCCTCTTTTTTGGCAATCAGGGTGTTGTGATAGGAAATTCAAATACCTACTTGAATAAGTTGGCTTATGATACCAATCAAAATGTAGTTTATTATGA